GTTGTTATTAAATCAGTCGTTACCAGTCATTCATAGCTTATAGGTTGCTATCTGATAGGCTTGACATTGAGCAGCCAACCAATGTGGTACATCGTGTAATGGCACTGGGCAACGGTGTCATCGTGTCACTATCGCAGTGCTGCACTGTGGCATGGCATAATGCAAAGTTATACGTTTTTTGTACTGCGATCCCTGCTGCTTTCGAAATAAATCCCATCGTAAAAAGGTGTGTCAAGCATGCATTATTGTATTGACTCCGCACCTGACATATGACTGACCAAACACACATGATACAATACAATAATCACTTTCAGCAAAGCACACAACCAATAAGTGACATCACTTGCTCAGCCTGATTTGGGAATCCACAAAACATAGGTGGCAAAGATACAGGCACGTCCTTTGCTCCCACATCCATGCAACGTGCTGCAGCCATCAGGCTGCTTTGCTCAAAAATATTGTTCACACAAGTAATGATGCATGTTTAACAAGAAAATTTTGCTGTGTGACTGCAAACCCGCTGACCTTGCACAAGGCTGGAGACATGACAAATGCATGTAGTCATAGTTAGATGGCGAAATGCAAGGAAGTGATGAAGCTGCCAGTGCGCGGAAGGCTCATGATGTGATAAAAATATTCCTAAGTGCTATCCAGAAACCAACAGCAATACTTTTTTCACCATCCCTAGCACCGAGAATCTCACACCAGTTGCAGTGACTAGGACATTGATGACTCACAAGCAATGTTAGCCTGCGTACAAATTTTCTTCAAACGATTGTATGTACATCTATAATAATGCATCGGTATATTTTCAGAGCTCTTAACAGAAAAACCGTTTTGCAGAGCAGTATGATGTGGGCCGTGCGTTAATGAGCTGCACGGACCCAACCCTACTGCCCAAATGAATTGCTAATATAAGGCATGCAATGGATGAATTACGTGCTGTAGTGCCTCAAGAGGCTCATAATATTGGCAAGATCAAAATGAACTAGCAAATTGACTTTGAACACAACTGCAAGCATGGGTGCTAGCGTTTCCTTCATTTTACCGACATCACTACCTGTTCATGTTCAAACGCAAACCTAAATATAGAAGCAGGTGTTAATACATCACATTTGATTGAGAGTCATTAGATTATAAAAACAACAAAACATGTTCTCTCAGACGTACAAACCTCGCACGCGCACTTCTCATCACATCAAGATCAATACAAGTCACTGGCACGCACCACCAGTGGTCACACACCCATTTCAAGCGCCTGATTCAAACTCTGTCAAAGAAGTGGGATCTTACATTTGCACAACCCGCAGGACTATCAACTTACAGGTTTTCTCCCAATTTCCGCACAGATTTTCGATTATAACAACGCATTTCACAGTGAGCTCCCTTCAAAACAAAGTCCCAACGTTGCTCATGGTAATACAACTCAGAGCTTGTACTTATAAGACACAATTTCTTTGTTCAATATCTATAGTTTATCCTACAATATGTGTGAAAGTACTTAGTAACATATATATTAAAAAATACTGTAATATTTCCCTATTTTGTAATGCCTTGCTAGCCCATAACCCGTGCAGGGTTCTTTGTTCCGGTACAACAATGCGCCAACCGAGCGGTCTATAACAAATACGACGTCCGTAGAAGAAGAAAACAAACGCCAGCGGAAGAAAAATGACAGACTTGCCGTCGCGTCTTCTTTTGTAGAGCACGCGGGGAATGCCCGTTCTTTTTCGTTGCTGTGCTTTTTGCAGACAGTGGCGTTTTCTTTTTTGTAACATTGACCTATGGTCTAGAAATAAGGAAAAATGCCCCGTTGGCGACGAGTACCGCACAACACCCGAAAGTACTCACGCTGACGTCAACGGCCAATCACCTTCCGTGGATTGTATCATAAGTGCCGCATTATCGCGCTTACGATTATATCAGCGGCCATGCTGTTCTGATTATAAGCAACCAACAGCCTGTTATATGCGTGTGTCATTGGGGCTTTACGACGCACTCAGCTGCTGAGGCTATATGGCGTCGCCCTGCCTCTCACCCTGGTAGGAACGGCTCTCTGCTCAATGCAATGAGTCTCGCTGCTCCCAGCCACCGTTCCGTCCATATATAAACGGCCGCCAGCCGCTGCCAGGCATCCATTTCCGATCGCCTTCTCACCAAGGGAAGCAGCGGCGCACCGCGGCCTGGGAGCAGCGAGACCCAACTGGCCGCAGGGACAGCGAACAGTGCAGCGACCTGGGGAACCACTCTTTCGCTATGCCATCGGTGAATTGTAGGCCATAGCGGTGGCTGGGCGGCCGGAGGTGTCATATGCTTTTTATACTGTGCATACCAGACAGCGCTTTGCGATTAAGCTGAACAGAATACGTGGTGTGCATGAAAGCACTGGAACTTGTCCGAACTGAGAGCCGATCAGTGATCGACAACAGCCGTTGAGGCAGTATTGTGCTGCTGAGCTATCTGGCGCTGACTGGGGCCGGGAAACTGACCTGGTGCAGTCTGGCATGGTCAGTGTGGTGCAGTCTGGTCTGGTGGCGGGCCGCTCCCCTGACCGCGCTGCGGCTCGGCCGGGCGTGTCGACAGATGAGGACCCTCTCTCTGCTGCTCTGCGCTGCCCCTGCTGGGCCTGGCTGCCCCTCAGTTCCGGTTCAGGCGTCCCCAGCGCCCGCGGAACTTCTTCCGGCCCCAGCAGAACTTCCGGCCTCAACAGAGCTTCCGGGCCCAGCAGAATTTCCGGCCCCAGCAGAATGTCGTGCAGAATCAGGGCCCGCCGCAGCAGAGTAAGTGACAGCAGCTGCAGCGCCCTCCGCTGCTGTCAGCTTTGGCCAAGTCCTGCTCGCCTCAGCGGACAACATCCTTTGGATCCCATGCGTGCCGTTCGGTGGCCGCAAACAGACTGCCTCTAAAAGTTTGTGCAAAATATTGGGCGTTTTGAGCACGAAATCCCCTTTCTTGGCATCGGCCACCCAATAACATAATACGGGCTACAACTAATTCATATATCTAAGTCCCTCTCAGCACGTATGTATTCACTATCAGCCTGTGGCAAGATCATTTCACTCTACACTAAACACTAATGAGATCTACATCAGCGTTTTGATCTTTGTGGAAGCCACCCATAAATCACGTTAACGCATTTTTGGCATTTTCAATCCCCTCACGTTGTGTCACGCATCGGTCACTGGGGAAAATCCTTTCCCTATTACCCTGTGTTCGGCATAATGTCCCCAAAATGGTGTCCGTTTGGACGCTGATGGAACTTAAGATGCGTAACAGGTCACCGGGCGCATTGCTTGTTACGATAAAAAACTGTCTATCCGTCATAAAGGTTTTAGACATTCATAAAATGATTTGTTCTGTTATTAACAACCACACCTGGGGATAAACGGCGCGCAGGCCGCCATCTACTCAGTGTTACACTTCTATTACTCACTACAAAAAATCACCATCCCCTCGATGCGCAACGAATGTACGAACGGCCCAGTGCATATCCATAACCAAGTCGGCTTTGAGCTCTAAATCTAGGTGTGGATTTTATTTTGGAAGACGCTGATCTTGGTAGATGGAGACCGTCGTTGGTCACAACCTTTCCTCTGGTGGCCCAGTCTGGTGGCAGGGAACTCTGGTCTGATCCGTGAAGACCAGCCTGTGACATCCAGCGATACATCATGCTCGTGACCCGATCTCGTCCGATGGTACATTCGGGAACGTCGATATGAGTCGACTATTCCAAAAAACCCTACTTCTGACTTTGTTTTCTTCAAACAATCCCTCGTACTTAGAAAACTGCGTAAAAACATTCACGCCGCATGCAAATGTTTGCAAACTTTACTCCCTCTTGGTTTCTTACAGGGCCTCTTTGAAAGCAAGATACTGTGCGCCATGGCGCAACATACGTGATTTAGTCCGTGTTTTACTTTACTGTGGTGACGTACCATCCTCCTTAGCTTTAATGTAACACTGGTTGGAAGGAAAGCCGGTTTGGAGCAAAACAGCATAAGACGCGAGAAACCAGACGAGAACCACCGATGATCTGTTGTGAGTTCGGTGATCCGAACCTACTCTCGATACCGGATATTTCCCGCAGTCACTTGATCAGACCGGATCTGACATCCATTGATCCGATTTAATCGCCGGTAATCCTGTCTGGCAGCTAGTACACCCTGTAAACTCTGATATCCTGGTCTCATCCGCTGTGAGTGGGCCTGACTCCCAGTAATCCGACGTGACTCTCTAGTGATTCGATGGAATACCCCAAAACTCACACCTGCCCCCAGTGACCTGACCTTTAGTCCTGTGACCTGAACTCGCCTTTGATGGCCTGATGTGGCCGGCGCTGACCTGAGCGGCAGCCGCTGACTCGTGCGTGTGCGCAGGGCGGCGGTCTGTACTACTGATGTGACCGCGGCGCTGACCTGAGCGGCAGCCGCTGACCCGTGCGTGTGCGCAGGCGGCGGTCTGTACTACTCGTGGCGTGACCCGGCTGTCGGCCGCAACGCCAAGTTCTCCTGGGGTCAAGCCAAACGCCGCCTGCCAGCGTCGCAAACCAGCGTCTCGTCTCGCTGGAGACGGCCGGCAAGAACCAGCAGATCGTCGGCGAGATCGCCAGCGACAGTGAGTGTTCGGGAGACGCGGGGCTTCAGACGTGCAGAGACGCATAGCATGCTCGGAGCTACCCGCTCAGAGACGTTTGAGGCAGGCTTTCAGGGGCCTTGTCCTGTTAAGCTGTGGTTATCGTTAACTGGATCACCTCAAGCTTCCGTGTGTTCTGTGTGACCCTGCGCGCTAGCGGCGAAACTGGCCTGACGCCGGGTCTCTCTCCTCCGCCGCAGACATCCCGTACATCTGGACCAGCGGCCAGCGGACGGGCCAGAACAGCTTCCAGTGGGCCAGCGGCCAGCAGGTGCAGCCGCTGAACTGGAGCCGCAACCGGCGGCTGCGGCGTGCCGCAGCCCGACAACCGCGAGGCGACGAAAACTGCCTGGCCATCCTCAACCGTTCTACCCCGGCGACCAAATCACGTGGCACGACGTCTCCTGCCACCACAAGAAGCCGTACATCTGCGAGTAGGCATTGTCCGAGGCCCATCGCACGCCTGGCCAGGTCGCGGCCATGGCGCGACTGACGGTCTGTGGTCCGGTCGTAGACCGGCCGCGCCGCCCTCGGTGGCGACATCACCGCGCGCGGCGTGAGGGGAAACAAAGCGCAGGCTATGCCATAGCGAAGAGACTACCGAGTCCAGCCTTTCGTGATATCTTGTGGGAATTGAGCTCTTTTCTAAGTTATTGCACTGTCTTCCAAACACGGGCGCTCTACCGTGCTTGGAAGATAAAATACACCGTATTTATTTGTACGAAATGAACTGTTGTTTGATGAGCAACTGATTGGCCGACCTACCCCAAACTATGCCTGAAGCCAGAAAGAACATCAAGATAACCAGCAAACACCTTCCGGTTAATTTCACTTGGTTTTCACTCTGACTTAACGCGCTATAGATACAAAACCACTCTCGTTCCTAGGCTATTGCCTTTAAATACAAAGCACATGCCTGGGCCAAACTATTCATTCACGAATGCACTCAGTATGGAGGCAAGGATCCATCATCATTTGGGTTTTAAGGACCCTCACACATGTCAGTGTCCACCATTTATTGGAGCGCCAGCATCACAAAGACGATGCTAGCGCTCAGGGGTCATGGCGCAGCTGGGATCTAACCCGGGCCATCCACGTTGGAACAGAATGCGCCAACCACTTGGTCATTACAGGAGTAAGCCGCTGGGCCCCCCCACACCCCTTTGATCTCGCACCGAATCTTTGGGTGGGAAGAAACACAAAATGTGTGCCGCTCCGACGTATACACTCTACAACGGATGCATAAACTTACCAGTGATCTTTATGTGGCAGCGAGAAGACCTAATTTATCGAAACATTAAAACTATTTTCTATGGGTTTTGGCGACTGTTTGGTGATGCGGGGCAGACGTTAAGGACGCCAAGAATAGTTTTGCTGTCCCGTCCGTTTTGGGTTCACGGCCCCATTAGCTCCTTTGAATTAACGGGGCTGATATTGCGGCCCCACTTGCAACCCGTTGGGTTTTCTCTGACTGGTATCTTGTGGCGGTAGTTGTGCAATTGCAAACTGCAAGTTACCAGTGCATTGATGGGGGATTGCTGGTGTTGGCACTGCTCAGACCTGTTTAACCACAATTAGCAGGTTACCAATTATTGTCCACGATTTATGTCGGCGCACCTTGCGCTGGTGCAGCCGGAGAGGCCAGCCGACAGCTGTTTGAAAATTAGTGGTTGAAGGTTGAAATGAAAGCCTGAAGCCCATTGCACGCCAAGTTTTGGCAATTTCCAGAAATGTAGCAATGTATGTGCTGATAATGTAACCGGCATCAAACATTCTTGGACAAGCTGAGTTAACACCTGGCCTCCTGCTGCGAACATCAAGAATAGTTGTTTCTTGTTTATTGGCTGGTCGTTATAGAACTACATCCCTAGCATAATCCTGAAGCCCTAGTTTTGAGACTGAGCCGAAAACCCGGGGATACGGGAGCGAACATAGCCTATATTATTGTGCTATGCTCTAAACAAAACTAACAACAGCTGTAGCAACAGTTATTGCAAAGTAAGTATTAGAGAACGAACATGGCAAGCTGTTGTGGAGCATGATCACGAGTGACGTAAGCTTTGCGCCCCCAGCTTTGAAATAACTAGAACCTCTCCTGTACTTGCACCAGCATAAACGTAAGTTCCTGAAGTAAGGCACCAGCACTTATCATTCATTTTTCCTGCCCCCATCGTCATGTTTCCATTTTTACAGCACTTACGTGCCATCTAAGCAAAGATACCGAGTTGTTGTTTGAGATATGCATGATTCTGCGTGATGTTGTGCTGTTGGAGAAGAAAACATATATTTCTGTAAGATAATATGAACTAACATAAGATCAGTCATGATATAGTTTAATTGCGCCCTAAGCATCTCAATGAGCATTCACGGGCATGAACCTGATTGCGTCCATACAGGAGTCCTTCCAAGCACAATCAGCCTGCGTAAGAACAAAGAACCTTATCTTAAGTTCTGAGCATTATTTGGAACTTTCTGGGATTTTAACGTACTTCTAATGGATCTTTGCATACATCATTTACGTTACGGCATAGTTATGATGATCTTATGCGATCACGAATATAGATTCACAACATCCAGTCCTGACAATAAGCCTATGTTTGCTTGATACAGACGTTAAGCCATTACCTCCTGGTATTGGTTAAAGGTCGAAAACTATGAAGGTCGAAAATCATCAGCATAAAAAGCTCTGAGTTCCAAAGCTGAAAAACCATGAGTTCATGGTTTTGTTGCCAATATGAAGTGTCTCACTGAGTACTTAATCCGTCATAAGCCTGAACCGCACCCTTAGGTCATGCACCCTCAAAAAACCTCGCACAAGTGCATGGAGCATTGGGTGCATGAATTTTGTCTCAAATGCGGCATAATCTCTGAAAAATACGCAACCATTAATACTTTGGACGGAGGGATTTCGAGTTTTGCTTAATGATCGGCTTCATCCTTTCCCGTCGCAGTTCTCATCGACACTGCCTCTTTCTTTTATCACAAATGCGTGATAAAGGCAGAAATGTCGGACATTGATATAAGAACATCCAATTCTGTGATATTGCAGATATTTCAGCACATCGCATTTGTGATACTTTCTTGCTCTTCAATGTTTAGTGTCAATATTATTGTCCGCATTACCTCAGGTATCGATAGGTAGGATTTCACTGATTTGTGGTTTGATTAGGTGTTATGTGTCGCTACAACGTACACGCTTTTTGCAAAATAGCCCTTCTGCACTGTCGTATTTGCAGCTGCATTTTCGAAAGGCTGCACTCAGGTGTGGCATATTAAGGGCGACTAATTTAGCATGCTAACTGAGGGGGGGGGGGGGTATCCCACCAATCACCGCCAAATCTCTCCAGCAAACCGCGACCCCTCCCCCCGCCCCCGCCCGAATGAAAACCTTGACTTCCCGGCAGCTCATACCCGACCAGATCGTTGACACGGTCGTTGAAACCGTAACACAGACCGCGTAAAAATGTGGCGAATCATTGCCCTGGGATCTACTGGCCTTGGGTCAATGTGCTTCCACTGACGACGACTCCCCTGAGACAAGTTTTTGGAGGCAAACGCAGTTTACCGCTCGGTTCTTTCCCAGTAACGCCATTATGCTTATTGTAAAATGTTGTCAATCTAGGATGTGGCATTTTTCCGGGGAGGGGGAGGGGGAGAGCAAGGATAGAGTAGACAATAGGGGCAGCTCCACGTGCGTCCCCATCCTTTGCTTTCACGAACCGCGCTTACATTGGCTGTCGTGTGATGCACTGTCAAACAGTCCTGTTTTATAGCGAAGCTTATCACGGTATCAACAAAGCATTGCCCATACTATTTTCTATTTACTTGTCATTATGAAGCACGGAAAGTTTG